TGGGAATAGTGGCCAAGCACTAACACAGAGGGGGTTTCTATTGATCCGAGCGGGCTCAGCTCCCATTGGGAAGAGGATGATGTGCGTAGAGCTGAGTTTTCAAAACCACCGCGGGACATCCCCTCCCAGTGCCGTGGGTCAGATGGGACTGGGGACACCTCAACGCAGCGGCTCTGGGGGTGCCCGGTGGCACCGGGTGCAGCACAGGACAGAAGCACAGCGCTCCCCAGCTCCCACCACTGGATGCTCCAAACCAAGATACAAAACAGATCCACAAAACAGGAGGAAAAGGGAAAAAGGAAGGAAAATAAGGGGAAAAAAGAAGGAAAACAAGGGGAAAAAAGAAGGAAAATAAGGGAAGAAAAATAAGGAAAACAACGGGGGAAAATAAGGGGGAAAATAAGGGGAAATAAGGGAAATAAGGGAAAACTTAAGGAAAATAAGGGGAAAAATAAGGAAAACAAGGGGGAAAAATAAGGGAATAAGGGGAAAAATAAGGGAAATAAGGGGGGAAATAAGGGAATAAGGGTAAAATAAGGGAAAAAATAAGGGGAAAATGAGGGTAAAATAAGGGGGAAATAAGGGAAAATAAGGGAAAAATAAGGGAAAAATAAGGGGAAAAATAAGGGGAAAAATAAGGGGAAAATAAGGGGAAAATAAGGGGGGAAATAAGGGGGGAAATAAGGGGGGAAATAAGGGGGGAAATAAGGGAAAAAATAAGGAAAATAAGGGGAAAAATAAGGGAAACTAGGGGGAAAATTAAGGAAAATAAGGGGGGAAATAAGGGGAAAAATGCACAGCGAGAGCCAGGAGGATCCAGCTCCAAGGCAGAGCGAGCCTACGGGGAGGCACCCTTGGGTGCCGGTGCCTTTTGGCACCCATGGGAGCACGCAGACCCTTTGGGGCTCTCAAACTCCCAGGGATTCTCCCAGCGGTGCCACGATCCACGGGGATCAAAACCAGGCAAGAAAAGCAGTGTTTTGGGGAGGATCGCTGCCTGGCCACGCCAGGTCACGGAGCTCGCTCGCCGCTTTCTTTTGGCAGCCGAATCGGGCGAGGAGCAGACGAGAGCAGCGCATCCTGGGGCCTGAGCGGCTAGTGGAAATTTCCAGAACGTCCTGGACAAGAATGACTTACTGGAAGTAATACATAAATCAAGCAAATGAATAGTTACCAGACAGCAGCGCAAACAGCTGCCACGGGGATGAAATCAGAACTGCCGTGCCAAGAGGCGTCAGCCTCCGCGCCGCCTGCACCTTCGGGGGGAAACGGGGGAAGCAACGCGAGGAAAAGCGCGTTTCTGGGGTAAGCGGCCGCCCCGTATCTCGCCCAGGCGCCTCCACGGGGCTCCCAAAACCGGCGGGTGCACAGCGCCCCATGGCCAGCGCCGCTGATGGGACCCCACGGGCCGGGGCTGCCAAGGACGGGACCGGCTCCACGCAAGGCAAACAGGCACCGTGTTGTACTTTCAGGCAGAAGACCTGGAGGCAGCAATCCCTGGGTTCGGCAGCGAGCCCTCCGAAACGCCCTGCACCCCTGTCCTGCCGAGGTGGGGGGGGGATTGCTGGATTTGGGGGCCCCACGGTCGATAGCAGCCGCTCTGCAGAGCCCATGGAAAAGCCAGGGCGCTGCTAAGTGGAAAACAACTTGTGCTAGAGATAGCGATCACCGTCACGTTGGTTGAAACACGTAAACTAGAAAACACCACCGCAGCAAAAACAAAGGGGAAGAGTCACCGCCGGCCAGGCCGCAGCTGCGAGCGATTGGAGATAATTAATTCTGCTAACTACACGTACACACACGGCTCCTGCAGCCTCCTGAGGGGCTCTGACCTTATCCCAGGAGAGGATGCGCAGGCAGGGGCGGCCCTGCTCCTTTCTCGGGATGGGGGATGCACAAAGCGATGCACAAAAAGCGATGCATGGAGTGAAATCCTGCTCTGCACCTCCAAAGCTTTTACTCCTCGGTGAGAAAGCACGTAATAAAAGAAGAAAAAGGGATGATACGGCAGGCCCGCTAACAAAAGTGGCCATTCTCTGCAGCGCCGTGTGCCCCCGCGTCGCTTTGAGCTGCTTTAACTTATTTGGTAGGGAGAAAGTAAATGGGTTTAATTGGAGCTGGCACGTTCTGTTGGTAGAAAAGCACCTGAAACTCCGGCGTAGCCATTCGTGGAGAGAGGTGCTGGGCCGAAGGGAGAGATCTGCAGCAAAACAACTGGGAAGCGTGTGAGCAGCAGCGTGTTGCTAGGTGATGGGCTGTGGAAGTGCTGTTTGCCTCCTTTCCCAGCCAGGAACAGTGGGGAAAACATCCCAGAATACAGAGATCCCCTTATTAAAACACCACAACTGAGAGATCCCCTCATTAAAGCATCACCCCAAAGAAATCCCCTCATTAAAACATCACAGCAAGGAGATCCCCTCACTGAAACATCAAACCAAGGAGATCCCCTCATTAAAACATCACACCAGAGAGATCCCCTCATTAAAGCATCACCCCAAAGAGATCCCCTCATTAAAACATCACACCAAAGAGATCCCCTCATTAAAGCATCACAGCAAGGAGATCCCCTCATTAAAACATCACCCCAAAGAGATCCCCTCATTAAAACATCACCCCAAAGAAATCCCCTCATTAAAGCATCACCCCAAAGAGATCCCCTCATTAAGACATCACACCAGAGAGATCCCCTCATTAAGACGTCTCCCCAACGAGGTCACCCCTCTTGTGGGAGCAGTAAATCACAGCTGGGTTTATCACAGGGATCCTGACAGCGTGACCACGTCCCAGGAAGGAACATTCAAGGCTGCACCTACTCGTGGGTCACAGAATGACACGGTAATGGGGAGTTTTGCTGGCAGGGGGGTCTGCAGAGCGGAGGAGGAAATCTGCAGCATCACGTTCCCAGTGAGGGAGCACGGACAGGGATCGCTCTCGCTCCGTTTCACAGCACAGAACCACCCAGGCACCGCAACACGGGACAGGAGGCAGTGCCAAGAGGCAGAAATCCCCTTCACTGGCTATTTCTTAGGGTATCAGCTGTGTTAGGGCAGTTTTATTACCGTTATTAACGGCAAACCCACGCCACAGGAGCAGCCCCGCGTTCCCGTAAGCGACAGCAAACCAGAAACCAAACCAAAAAACAGGAGAAGCAAGAAAGGTGGGACAGACTCTGTGTGCCTGACCCACACAGATCTGCTTTTAGCACGGGAGATCCCCGCAGTAACCCTGTGAGAAACAGCTTGGAGCTCATCTGATAAAAACGCAAATCTCGATTACTCAGACGTTATTTTAAATAAAAAAAAAACCCACCAAAAACGCAGGAGCAGATGCGGCAATCCCCTGCGGGAAGCACAGGGCCCTTTGGCTTCGCTGGGGACACCCAAAACCCCCCAGTCCCACCCCAGAGCACCCCCACGCACATCACCCGGGGGGGCAGAGCCCACCCTCTGTGTCCCACTCCCCTCCCTCCAACCATGGGCAGATCTGAAGCTTTATCTCCTTTCATCTGGCTTTTATCAACCGGTTTGTTTAGAAGAGCCCTGGGGCCGGGAGGGCCATGGGGAGCCCCCTACAGCCCCCCAGAACAGCCCCTGCGCACGCGAG